CAGCAGGCAGGTGATGCAGTTTGGGGGAGAAGCAGAGGCATTAGAAGGACGGGCACTGGGGTAGCCGCCTTCAGTTTGGTCATGGTGAGAGGATGGGCTGTCGCGCACCTCAGTGTGGTGGGTGGGGGGAGCTGGCCTCTTGACCCCACTCCTTGCTAGGCGGGCCTGCCAAGACTTTTGCTCTGGGAGCTCTTCTGCTCCTGTGTCGATACTTGAGGTCGACTGGGTGGAGGGGGAATGAATGGGCCGTGGGCCTCGCCCTCCCCTTCCCAAGTTGGATTCTCGGCGTCATTCTCATCACTTTCGAATATCTTCAGCACTTCAGCTGCCTCTGCATCTTCAGCATCATCAGTTAATTCTTCTTCTTCATTCTCTTTCTCCTCTTCGGCTTTCTCGTCTTCTTGGCCCACCTCCTCTTCTTCTTCTTCTTCTTGTGTTGGCCCTCCCTCGCTCGCGGGGGTGTGCATCTTCATTGTGTCCTAAGTAAGGAGCACACCCCATCAGCATCTGGTGTCTGACGTCCACTACAAACTAAAGATTGCTCTCAGCTGAGGCTGATTGCACCTTGACGCAAGCCGCCGAATCTACCAGGAAGCACAGCGACAACCATGCAACCCGAGAGGGCGTGGAGACGGAACCCGTTCATTTCATGCAAGATCACCATTCAATCCTAAGGGAAACCCGGAGCGAGGCAACTTTCCAAAACATCGCTTTTGAGACCGAGCAGGCAACAAACAGCGCACCATCCGCAGAAACTGCCTCTTGCGTGCAAAAAGACGAGTTGCCAAGATTTCAAGGCCATTTAATCGAATTGTGTGCCTACAACGTGTTCTGGAACACACAAGCTCCAGCAACAGCAAGCACCTGGTTTTCAGGCATGTGCGAGACCGGTTTTGCTGGGTTTTTGGACTGAACTGGTGTCCACAAAAATCATCTTTTTCATTCCTTGAAGAAGCAAAAAGTTTGGAAAACGAGTGTGATTTCAGAATTGTGGGGGAAAGCATTTGCTGTCATAATGTTCTTGATCGAAAACAATCAAGCTCACAGATGTGGTCTTTTAGCGCATCCGCTGTAAGTCGATGCAGCACCTTTTTATTTTGGATCTGTCTCAGTTTTGGATGAGAGGGGGAAGAAAGGGAGATGTTGCGCAAAGGTTTCGCCGTGGAGCCGCAGAGCTTGATTTGCTTGTGTCCGGGTGGCTTGGTCCCCGGTTCGGGGTCCGTTTCTCGAAAAATGGAAGCCGTTTTTGCGCGAAATTTGTTCCGCCGGGCGAAAAACAGTGCAAGTTTCGATTGTGTCCGCCGACAGGCGAGTTTTTGCATGCTGATGGGTGTGCCATGGTTTTGCAGCGCCGCGAGCACTTGTTCTCCACCCTGCAAACATTGTCCACGCTCCGTGGCGAGACCGGTTTTGTTAGGGTTTTTGGACCCCCGAAAAAAGAAGGCCACAAATTCATCCGGAAAATGCAATTTATCTTTGGACACACCAATGGCCAAACCCAAGCCTTTGTCAAGAGTGTTGAGCGCAAAGAACACTTGGAATGCCTTGGCGCAAGTGTGGAGCGCCCAGTTTGAAGAAGCGCCGGGACCACAATGTTAAGGTTGCGTTTCGTGGCTTTCTGTTGGTCTTTGTGTTTTTGAAGTTCTTCACGTCCACCCAATCAAAACTTTGTAAAGCGCAAATGGGGTGTCGGCGCCGCGCATTGTAATGGAGGGCCCGAGACCGAAGCCGCGCCGAGGCGGCGCCGCGCATTGTAACAGAGGACCCGAAGCGGTCCGAGGCGGTACCGCGCATTGTAATGGAGGGTAGCACGTTGCAAGGGAATGTTCGAAACGTTGATGCGTAAGATGGAACCGGGACCCGCCGGCAATCTGGCGCAGCCTGCAACAAACACCAAGGATGTGAGCAGAAAACGGGGGCCGTTTGTCGGCAAAATTTTGCAAAATAGCAAGTTTTGATCGTTACTGCAGGTACGCGACATAAGTTTTCCATACCGCTTGGTTTCCATGGTTTTCCAGCGCCGCGAGCATGTTCCACACCCTGCGAACATTCATGTCCACACATGGTCTTGAACTGGGAGGCCTTCCGTGGCGAGACCGGTTTTTGCTGGGGTTTTTGGACCCCAAACTGGTGTCCAGAAAAATCACTTCTTTCCATCCCTTCAAGGAGCAAACAGTTTGGAAAACCAGTGTGATTTGAGAATTGCTGGGGAGAAAGCGTTTGCCGTGTATGATGTTCTTGATCGAAAACAATCAAGCTCACAGATCAATGGTCAGCTGCTTTTCAGCAGTCTGATTGCGGCCTTGCACGCTTGGTGCACGTTTGTTTGCTGCGGTGCTTCTGGTGGACATCCGCCGTAAGTCGACCTAGCGCCTTGAGTCTTCGTATTTTTTGGTCTGCCTTAGTTTTGGATGAGAGGGAAGAAGAGTGGGGAGATGTTGCGCGCCAAGGAGCCGTGGAGCCTGTCATTTTTGCGTATGTTCATAGGCCAGTGTTCAGGAGCCATCTCTGGTCGTTCAATATGGCAAGGAATCCTTGTTTCATTTCAGTTGAGGTTTGTGCTCACGTCCTTGGTGTTTGTAGCAGGCTACGCCAGGCTGCCGCCCGGGTCCCGGTTCCATCTTAAGCATCAACGTTTGAATTTTCCCTTGCAACGCGCTATATAGGGTTTTTGCGGCTACAATCAAGCTCTGGGTTGGGTCGGACAATTTATTACAGTGCGCGGTACCGTCTCGGTACCATTTCAGTACGGCTCGGGCTCTTTGTTACAATGCGCGGCGCCGCTTCAGTACCGCTCGGGCCCTCCATTACAATGCGCGGTACCGACACCCCGTTTGCGCTTTACAAAGTTTTAATTGGGTCGGAGTGAAGAACTTCCAAGAAAGCACAAAGACCAACAGAAACCCACGAAACGGAACCTGAACATTGTAGTCCCAGCGCTTCTTCAAACGGGGCGCTCCACACTTGTGCCAAGGCATTCCAAGTATTCTTCGCGCTCAACCATTCTTAGCAAAGGCTTGGGCGAGGGCTTGGCCATTGAAGTGTCCAAAGATAAAATGCATTTTCTGTGGCCTTCATTTTGGGGCCCAAAAACACTAGCAAAGCCGGTCTCGCCACGGAGGGCCTCCCCAGTTGCGGGCGTGTTATTTTCGCACGCAACTTTTTTGAAGCCGCGTGGACATGCGCGATGATTGGAAGTGGCAATTGGGGGACGGGCACGGCTGGTCTGACAGCCTGTGATGGTTCCGTGTGAGAAGCCAAAGCGTGGAAGTGGCGTTGTCCAAATGTTGGTTGTAGAGCTGCTTGCATCCACTCAATCAAGTTTCAGGTGATGTCATCCCTGACTCTCGGAAATCCAAGGGGCTTTCAATATTCACAGGCAAAGGGACGTCCTCTCTGCCCAACTGGACTCTTCGCTTTCTTCGGTGGGAGGGTGCGTTCTTTGCCATGTTTAAAGTGCGTTTAGATGGCGCCTGACGTTTTCGGTTTTCGATCGACTTCGGATCGTTTCGTCCGGTCCCTTCCCGCCGGAACCACCCTGCCTCCGGGCACCAGTGGGCTTTCGACCGAAACCATGCATGTCCTTCGAGCTGCCACAGTCCAGTGCTGGAGAATGAGCCTTCAAGATGTCTGTGAAATTTTCCAGTTTGACCCGCGCTGCGTTTTTGTTTCGGTTTTTTGTTCGCTGTTTTGGGTTGCAGTTTGCATTTGTTGGGGGTTGGGGGTTTGTTTTTTGGGTTTGTTTTTTTTTGCATTTGTTCAATTCCACTCCAGCTGACCTTCGCATTGTTTGCGATGACTGGCAGCCAAAAGACAGTTGTTCTTTTTGGGGGGGATATGGGGCTTGCATCCCATGGCGAACTTGGTTTGGCGAAGCTGTGCTGTGGAGTTACAAGCACGGATTGCTTCCCATGAGCCTCCAATTTTGTACAATTGTGGCGCTCTGTGACCCCCAGGCTGCTTCAAGTGAGTCAACTCTGCGAGTTTGTTTGATCGAGCTGTGGAGATTGGAGCATTGATCATGGTCGGACCACGCTGCTTAAAATTTTTCCTGGACGCGTGGAATTGGGCGGAGAAAGATTTGATGTTCGGATGTTTTTTGCGTGTGCGTTTGTCGGTTTTTGGTTTGTTTATTCCTGTTTAACACAGTCTGATGAGCATGCAGGGACGGTTGCGACTTGACATTCAGTTTCAGCAAAATCTTGGATCTCCAAACTACAAATTGAGCTTTTGCATGTGTCATGTCGGAAAAACGCACCAATTTTGCACTCTATCATCATGTTTTGTCATGTTGTTCTGCCACCCACCAAGGCTTCAACCACAACAAACAAACGAAATCCTGTTGTTTGAGTATGGATTGCTACATCAAAATTCAGTTGCCATGACTGCAATGCGGGCAAAAATCTATTGCCACAAAATGTGTGAAAAATACACCAGAATTCCGCTTACCCGACTGTTTCATTGAGCGACCTACAATTTTTTGTGGCGGATCCTTTTTCCTAGGACAGAGTTTCATCTTGCTTTCACAGATTCAGGTCTCGCTGAAACCTCGTGCCAAGCGAGTTTAAATTCGTTTTTAAACCAGAGTCCGTTAGCAATCCAAATGTCACGGAATTGGAGATTCTGCACTACCAGGTCTGGTTATGATTCTGACAGTTTTGTTTTGGTGCCAGGCCTGGACTCCAAAATACAAACCGAATAAACAAAATAACACATTGTTGAATAGTATGAAGGCTCTTGGTGTGCCAAAAAGGGTTACCCACATCGAACCATTCTCGAAGAACAACAGGCTGTCTCCGAGGTGTTTTTTTCTGCCAACATCACAACTTTGATGGCGGACTGATTAATTGACAGCGTTGTCACAATGTTTTCTTGTTTCACTCCAAAAGATTGTGCAGGGAACATGGATGATGGCTCACATTTTCCGCTGTTTTGGCTCAGCTTTTGAAGTTGACCCGACCAAGTACGTGCTTTGAATTTGTCTTCACACCAGCTTGGGAATGGCAATCCGTGGCCAGCCACTTCCTCAAATTGACATTGTGAACATGTTGAGTTGGCTCTTATGATTTGTTCCAATTTTTGGGTGCCAAATGCTCCATTTTAGGACGACTCCCTTTGGACCCTACGGTGGTTTACGGCCGGAGGAGGCGCAATTGTGCTTGAATAGCACGAAACTGATGTGCAGATGTTGTGCAGGGAAGGCAGTCCGAAGATCCTGAACGTCTCTCTGCCTTGGGTGCTGGCAGTGGGGCAGCAGATGTAGAATATGAACAGTTTCTGAAAGTGAAAGAGGTGTTGGGCTTGGCAGATTTTGTACTACAGTATGCAGCAACAACTCTGATATTGGCACATGGCACACCTGACAAACAACCAAAAAGTTTGGATCCTGAGTGTGTGATTGTTCAGTTCGTGTCAACACCAAATTTATGCATCAAAATCTTCAACCAAGGTGCAGAGAGCGATGTTTCAAGCGGAGAACAAGACCCTTGTCCATCAGTGCTATGTCAGCAAAACTAAAGCTCTTGAGCCCCAGGGATGCTTTTGGTTTTCTTCATGTAAAACTCTGGTTGTGTTTCAGGTGTGCTGACACTGACGTGATCCAAGCAACGGAAGGTTCCATCGCCTGCATCGACGGCAACCAGGCAGCAGCGCATGTGGCCTACGCCCTCAGCGACTGTGCCTTCATTTACCCTATCACTCCATCATCACCCATGGGAGAGATGGTGGATGAATGGTCTGCCCAAGGACCATCTCACCGATTTGAGTCAATGTATATGACATACAGTAATGGGAACTGTGTTTGATGACAATTACTTAATAACACCCGGAATTCTTGCTTCAATTGGTGTGTCTTTGGTGGTCAGGACTCCTCAACTGCTACGGACAAAAGCTGAGTGTGACAGAGATGCAAAGCGAAGCGGGTGCTGCTGGAGCCTTGCATGGAGCGTTGAAGGCCGGCGCCTTTTCCACCACTTTCACAGCGAGTGACGAGCCAGCACGAGCCAGCGTAATGTTTTGGAGATGGTTGCAGATTCCCAATGTTGTCCATATGTTTTGTTTAGATACAATCATTTCGTTTAATATGTTGTCAAAAGAAGATACACTTTGTCACCATGTTGCTAGTGTTAGTGTGTATTGTTTCCTTTGCACGTTTCTTGGACGTGTAAGGTCAGGGATTGCTCTTGATGATCCCCAACATGTATAAGATTGCTGGTGAGTTGCTCCCCTGTGCCCAGAGCTCAGAAGCAGATAAACAACAGTAACAGCCTGTGGATCATGTGCAATGAGAATCCTTCTCGATCCTGCTGATCATTCAGTATAGTTCTGGTCCGCAGTTGAACCAGTGCAATTTTTGCTATTAGGTTGGAGGCCATTGCTATTGCTATTAGGTTGGAGGCCATCGCTATTAGGTTGGAGGCCATCGCTATTAGGTTGGAGGCCATCGCTATTAGGTTGGAGGCCATTGCTACTAGGTTGGAGGCCATCGCTATTAGGTTGGAGGCCATCGCGGTTAGGTTGGAGGGGATTGCTATTTGGTTGGAGGCCATTGCTATTAGGCTAGAGGCCATTGCTATTAGGTTGGAGGCCACTGCTATTAGGTTGGAGGCCACTGCTATTAGGTTGGAGGCCATTGCTATCAGGTTGGAGGCCATCGTTAATAGGTTGGAGGCCACTGCTATTAGGTTGGAGGCCATTGCTATTAGGTTAGAGGCCATAGCTATCAGGTTGGAGGCCATCGCTACTAGGTTGGAGGGGATTGCTATTGGGTTGGAGGCCATTGCTAATAGGTTGGAGGCCATCGCTAATAGGTTGGAGGCCATCGCTAGGAGGTGGGAGGCCATTGCTTCTAGGTTGTTCTTATTTAGTTGTCCTGGCTCGCTATTCCCTCGCCTCTCTCAGGTGATGCATGTTGCTGCCCGAGCACTCGCCGGGCAAGCACTGTCGATTTTTGGGGATCACAGCGATGTGATGGCCTGTCGTTCGACAGGGTGGTTTCTTGGCCGGACAGATGGATTTGCTTGATGTGTCGAAGTTCTGTTTCAGTAGACTAGACAGTTGTTTGGTCCCTTTGTTTCGTTTTGCAATGTTGCAGGTGCATGCTGGCTTCGGAATCTGTGGAGATGGTGCAGTACAATGCGCTAGTAGCACACTTGGTCTCGATGGAACGGCGTGTTCCTGTCCAACACTTCTTCGACGGCTTCAGGACGAGCCACGAGGTGGGATTGCCATGTTTCCTACATGGTGTGTTTTTTCTCTGTTGATTTGTTGGCTGTGGGAGGTGAATAAGGTGCGGCTCATCGACTACAACAGCATGAAACAGTTTCTTGGATTCTGAACTTGTAGCTGTTGTGAACAGTGGAATTTGATGGTATCTTGAATCTTGCCTGGAGATTTTGATTTGCACAGGTTCATCAATTGGGATGCTGTCAAAGAACATCATGACCTCGCCATGAACCCTCGACATCCACATGTACAAGGTACATCACAAGGACCAGACATTTTCTTCCAATGCGTGGAGGTCAGGGAGTCGGAGTAGTTTTTCGTATGAGGTTCTCAATGTTTCCCTTTCTGTTGATGCCGTTGTTTGCTTTGACACCAATGCTCACGAACTCCAGTGATCTGACCGACCTCTTCGACAGGCAGGCAATGTGTTCTACGACAATTTGGCCGACCTCTTCGAAGCGAAGTCAAGGTGAAGATTTGTTTTTGCATTTCTTTTGATGCTGGGTAAAGGGCATTTCTGATATGTTTTGATCCCTTGTCAAAGTCATCGCACCCTATTGTATTCGTCGTTGTTTCTAGTTGTTGCTCTTCCTTGCAGAGGCTTGTGGAGCAGAAGACTGGGGTGCACTATGCCCTCTATGCATATGAAGGCCATGCAGAGGCGGAGTATGTGATTGTGGTCATGGGCAGCGGGGCTGTGACCTGCAGCGAGACGGCCAAGTACCTTCAGGAAAAGGGAGAGAAGGCCATCAACCATAATGCGCCATGTTTTTGCATGTCTTCCTTCGCTGCGAGAAGGCGTTTCGCGGACATCTCGTATCTATTGGTATGTATGGCCGTATTACATGGTGCTTCTTGAGTGCATGTCATGCAACGCATCAACCTTGTACGAACACTTTGTACGAAAACTTCACTAAAAAACATCAGAGTAAACTGAGTAAACCGATGGGTTTGACCGTTGTGTTCTGGCAGGTTGGTGTACTAAAGGTGCGCCTCTTCCGCCCATGGGATCGAACTCGATTTATGGCTGCGCTGCCCAAGACGACAAAGAGGGTTTGCGTCTTGGATCGAACCAAGGACTGGGTGACCGGATGTCACTGGATGTCGGTGTCTAATCCAAGTCTTTGGACATGCAGTGCAACTCTTTGAAAGAACTTTAAGACACTTCAATGATTCTAACCTTACTCGAATTGTTTTGCTGTGAGAGGGGGAATGAGGGCACATGCCAGATTGTTTGCTCAGTGTGCAGGAGCAGGGATCACAAGGTGAGCCGTTGCTCCTGGAAGTCTCTGCGACGTTCCAGTTCATGTCGAGGCCAGACATCATTTGCATCGGAGGCCGCTATGGTTTGGGATCAAAGGAGTTCACTCCCAATATGGTGCTGTCTATCTATGAGAACCTCAAGAAGGAGCCAAACCGCTAGTTGACGCAGTTTGGCATGTCAAGCAACTCTTTCTCTCAAATTTGAATGATTCCTGAAGTAGACCCTTTGGAGAATCAATTGTCTTCTCTTTGCAAGGATGCTCCAAAGCCTCGCTTTACTGTTGGCATTAATGACGACGTCACTCATTTGTCCTTGCCTGTGGGCGAATGGCTCAACGTGCTGCCGCAAGGGACCACCGAGTGCATGTTCTACGGCCTGGGAAGCGATGGGACTGTCGGGGCAAACAAGAGCGCCGTGAAGATGATTGCCATGGGAACGGAACTTTATGCTCAGGCAGAATCACTGAGCACGATCACTGCTCTAAGCAAATCACACGCCTTTAAGCACATTTTCTCACTAGGCCTACTTCGAATATGATGCCAAGAAAAGTGGCGGTGTGACCATCAGCCACTTGCGCTTCGGTCCCAAGCCAATCTATGCCCCGCAGCTGGGTTCGAAAGGAAACAGGGAGTGTCCATGGCAAGACACAACATGGGTCGCTGTTCTCTACAAGGTGACTTTTGATTGATTAACTTGGTTGAGGTACAACGTGCGTGCAGCAGACTATTTGGCCATTCACAAGCCAAGCTACGTGGCCAACTACGATACCTGGTTGTTTTCTTAGGTGTTGCAAACCGTGCAGCAATTGAAGCGTGTGTTGAAACCAATGCCCAGCAGAAGAATCATTCTGCCCCTTACAAGAAACCGCGATGTTTGTGCACTCTTTTGCTTCCCTGCTTTCCTGCTCCTATATAGTATCTCATCAACTTAATCTCCCAGGACATGACTCGCTACATGAAGCCCAATGGAGTTTGCGTCATCAACTGCTCCTGGAGCGTGTCCGAGCTTGAGAGCAAATTGCCTGCAAAGATGCGCCGGGACTTGGCATCAAAGAAGGCAAAGCTGTATATCATCGATGCCACTCAGATTGCCGTGAAGGCACTGAAGTTCCACTGAAGTTGCTGAAGACTCAAGAGATTTGCAGTCCTTCTTGAACAATTTCCGAAGCATTTTGGTAGATTCGATTGCCACTGATGCATACCGATGCGACCTATGCTTCCAGTTTCTTGTCACTGTATTTTTGGTTTTGAACTCTGCGCAGGCTGGCTTGGGCAAGCGCATCAATATGATCATGCAGAGTGTTTTCTTCAAGCTTAGTGGAGCCACTTGACTTACTTGACTCCAAACAATGAAACAGACACGACTCGCTGTTTGACGTTTCTTTTCAGTCGGGTAGATCATGGCAACTCTCCAGGTCATGCCCTTCGAGGAGGCCATTGAGATGTTGAAGAAGAGCATCAAGAAGATGTATGGAAAGAAAGGCACGGCCTCTTTTTTCCGCACTGCTTTGCAGATGATCTCAGATACTGCTTTTATGCTGAATCTGCCACCCAAACCAACTATATAGGAAGTGTTCTTATGACATATCTTATTTCCTTTGAGGAAAGAAGTTTGTTGCAGGTGACAAGGTCGTACAGATGAACATCGATGGTGTGGACGCCTCTGTGAGTGGCATCATTGAGTGCCCTGTGCCCGCAGAGTGGGCCAATCTCACGGTGCCTGGAGAGGCTTGCTGTGACGTGTCCAGCTTGGAGAGGCTTTTCTTCACTTCTCGCGTGAGGCCGGGGATGCGACACAGGTGGCCAAGGGTCCACGCAAGATCGTTGATTTGGCGCCAAAGCAGTTTGCGGACACTGTGCAGCAGCCTTGCAATAACCTGGAGCCTTGGTCCGAAAAGAGAAATGACGGAATCTCACCTTCCCCAGAAGGGGGTCTTTTGTCAAAAGACGTTTCCTCTTTGGTAGCTTGAACTCAGAACTCAACATCCAAGAGTTTGGGAGTACTTTGCCTTTGCCACACTAGGGAGACAGACATGTCAGAAGTATATATGTTTTATATGTATACTGTATATACTTCTGCTCACCATGTCAATGTCAGGATGGAAATTCCTTGCCAGTCAGCACTTTTGTGCCTGGCGGCCGTGTGCCTCTGGGCACCAGCCAGTTTGAGAAGCGGGGCATTGCAATCAATGTACCGAAGGCACAGAATACCTGGAGTGTGACATTGAGTGTTACGGTATGTTGCAGTGAGAATTGCATGGTTGCTTTGACCTGGGTCAGAGGATCATGTCTCCTCAAACGAAAGACGGCCCAAACGCAAGGTGGACATGGATCTCTGTACGCAGTGCAACAAGTGCAGCTTGATTTGTCCCCATGCAGCTGCTCCTTGGAGTCAACTGCTTGTTTGGGTTAGGAATGGCTGCGCTTGGTCGGAAGCGCTCAGGTTCGCCCCTTCCTGGCCACGCAGATGGAGCTGAACTCCGCACCCAAAGACTTCAAGGCGTAGATCGTGTGAGATGATAAGAGCTGTGAGAAGGGTGTGAAAATAATTCACTTGCTTCAGCGGCTTTCAGCCCGTTCAGTAGTCCAAAAGAGCTTGTTGAGCTCCTTGAGCTTGATGTGCTTGAAATTAGAACTGCTTTTCCTTTTGTGAGGATGGTAGCCGGGCAGCGATCGGAGGTGGTGTTTTGGACAGCTACCAGTATCGTATCCAGGCATTTGGGTAGGGCGGGTGGAGGTTTAAGCTTAGCGATGCCCTTTGTTCCTAGTAGCAAATTAGCTACTAATAGCGATGCACGTGTTCCTTGTGGCGATGCCCTTTGTTCCTAGTAGCTTCTTGCTACTCCTTTTGGTCCGTTTGCTGGGTTGGCAGGTCTCGCCTTGGGATTGCACTGGCTGCGAGTTGTGTGTGCGTATTTGTCCCGCTGACGCACTCGAGCTGGCCGATGCAGCAAAGGTCATCGAGGCCCGCCCACCCTTTCCGCAGTTGAGTTGCTTGGAGTCGAATCTGCCCTGAGGAGGAGGAAGCGAACTGGAACTTTGCAGTGACCTTGCCAGACCGTGGTGATGAGATTGACAAGACCACAGTGAAGGGGTCCCAGTTCCAAAAGCCATATCTGGAGTTCAGTCTTGGGCTTGGGGAAAGAATACATTTGGCAATGAGAAGAATCGTTTGAAGTTTGTTCCAAGATATCGTACCAATGAATCGTTTGAAGTAGCAGAATCCATGTCTTTTCGAGATGTTTGCTGCCACTTCCCAGGTGGAGCATGTGAGGGTTGCGGCGAGACACCGCATGTGAAGCTCATGACCCAGCTCTTCGGAGAGCGCCTGGTGATCGCCAATGCCACTGGCTGTTCTTCGATTTGGGGTGGATCGAACCCATCCTTCCCCTACACAGTCAATTCCAAGGGCGAAGGTGGGGTACCTACATACGCCTTACATATCTGGATTAGTAGTAAACTCTCATGAAACGAAGTGGCGTGACAGTGCTTTATTTTTCCTAAGTGTTTGCTAAACGGAGGATTGCCGAAGTGTTGCATGAGTTTCGTTTTCACTTGATCTCAGACTCACACTTCACGTGAAGTCGGGCTCAAGTGAGCCCTCACGACTCTTTTTCGAGCTGCGTCTATGGCGGGTTGATGGCCATGCACCTGGCAGTGCTGCTCTTGCAGGATATCGATTACGTGAGCTATTGGCCTCAGAACCTCCTGGTGTTGAGAGCCCACCCGCTTTGAGCAGACTTTGGAGCCCATGCGCGCTGGTCGCAGACTCCATGGCACTCGCGCCTCCTGCGCAAACATAGACATACACGTTGTGGCAAGTCACTGTCAAAGCGTTGGTGTTGGGGAAGAAGTGGTTTTTGTTCTTGAGCGCTGGCCCGCTTTGTGCTACACAGCAACGGCTGCAGCAATGGCAATTGATCCAGAAGTTCTCTTAGCCCAAACTTCCGACGCAGCTCGTGCCTTGCAACCAATCAACCAGTTTCGATTGAATCCAACTCCTTTCGAGCCAACTGCAATTTGTCGTGACGCTTTGCCGCAGCGCAAAGCTTGCAATAGCAATCATGCCTTTTTCTTTTTGTCGGGTTGGGCGCAGAAAATGTCACAGATTGCAACTTTTAAAGACTTGATCTGTATCGTCATAGGTGTTGCAGTTTCGGCAGGTTCGTGATTCATAAATTGCATATTTTGTGAAATCATGTGTTTTGGAGTGAGTAACACAGAGTTTCAATAAGGCAGTGTGAACTTGTGCACTGGAGTATCCTCACTTATTCTTTGACTCTTGTCGGGTTCAAGTGACACCTGGCTGTTTTGTCTCGAAGCAGGGATCCACGTGGGCTCGAGAGGCAAGTGCCTCGACGGCCGGGATTTCACAAAAGAACGTCCTTGAGGCGAGTGCCCCTTTGAGTGGCTTTTAACGAGCCGTCGAGACAAGTTGAAAGATAGACGTTGCGAGTGGGTCTTAGCCTTTTTCCTGCTTTTGTTCATTCTGTTCGCAGGCTGTTATTGGTGAGTCGAAGAGCAGGCAAGTGCCTCATGGAAGGAAACCTTCAAGTGAAGGGTCGTGTACAAGATTCGCATATTTGAAGCACGCGTTTGATTATTCACCCTTTGTTCAGGTTGTGATTGAAGAGTCGACAAACGGGCAAGTGCCTCATTGAATGTTTTCTGAAGTGAGGTTTTGGGTTCAGTCTCATACCCTCGGAAGTCTTAAAAGTCTCTCTTTGCGTCAGGCCACCCTTATTTTTCTTTCGAACAGATCGATTAATTTCGGGAGGCGCGCGCCTTCTTTTCTTCGATGTCTCAAGTGAGACCATGTAGGGTGTCACGACAGTGTCGCAATTGAAATGTGACAGACGGAGTGCATGATGAGAGAATGAGAAGACTTCACTCCTGTTTGGTGCAGGACCTGCTGTTTGAGCCGAGCCTTCGTCACAGACCGAGGGAGATCAATCGTGAACCTGAACTTCAAGCCTATCGATGTGATAGCTGCAAGCTCGAGCCCGCAAGGCAGGCACGGACGAGGATCGGTATGTTAACACGAAAAGAACAACAGCAGCAACAACAACAACAACTCACCTCAACTCGCACGGTAAGTCAACCACTGGAGTTCTCTTGTGAGGTAGATCGGAACTGAGCGGGCGACAGGATTTCTGATTTTCTGAGGGTGCGGGTCAGAGGTGGCTTGCAGCACCTTCTTAGGAAGTCTGTCGCGCCTGTATGAACCTCGCGCCGGTGAGTGCGTGAAAGAACACTTCAAGTGAATAAAGTGAGATTTAAATGAAATAAATTTCATTAAGTGAACTTTGTTAGCATGTGAATTTCCGATCCAGCAAATGCGACGACATTAAGATCAATAGGCCTGGCAAGATCTTGCGTGTGACTTTGAGTGATTTGGTTGAGACATATTGGAATGCCTTGAGACGTCACTCTCTCTCTAAACGAGAAACCAAACGTTCGTTGTTGTTGCAGCCTGACCTTTTTCCTGCTCAATGGACAATTTTTCAAGCTCCATAGAGATAGAAGATGACCAAGAAGCTTGGTCAGTGGCCTCTGAAGACATGAGGAGACCACTACCCCACGACATTGACGAGGTCAAAGACGAGGTAAGCGAAGAGCCTCACGACCCATGCAGTCCGTTTGAGCCGTCTAGTCCAGGTCCAGAGACAGACAACCACTGCCCACAAGGGTCACGAGATGTCCCTGCCGACCTTTCGACATTGCAAAACGCCATTCAAGGGGCCGTCCTGAGCACTGTCCTTTGATAGCAGAGAAGCTTCCTTGGGAGCTTCCAGGGATGGACTTGATTTTCGGTTCTGATGCAGACGAGTTGTCTTTGCCAGTTCCTCATTTTGAGCCCGCGCAGACTTCGTGGGACGTGGACCCAGCTTTGCCCTCAAAGAAGAATGCACCGCCTGTACTCATCACAGGCAAGGATTCGTTTCTTAGAGTCATAGATTTTCATGCTAATGAGATGACAGATGATGCTCTCGCAGAAGTCAGGTGGCAGAAGACCTTAGAAAAGTGGTACAAGGTTTTCTTGATCTCGACTGATGCCAGACCCGGTGGTCTGGTGATACATGAAGATGACGTCCCGGGCAATCTCGAGAGAATTCGAGAGATTTTGGGGACGAGGAGTTGTGCCACTGCAGCCAAAGGGTAGGTTCGATCCTTGCTTACGCAAAATGGTACGGTCGTACCCACTATTTCACACAAGCTTTGCCCTTCAAGGCTCAAGACATCGAAGAATACATGTCACACCTGAAAGACATTGAGTCACCCGCGTCGACACCCTCTTCTTTCCTGGAAGCAGTGAATTTCTGCATCCACGTCTTGGGAATGCCAGCCCCAGAGGGCGTAAACACGGTTATCAGCTGCCGCAGTCGAGCTTTAGCCGATAGGGCTTTAGCCAATCGGGATGAGGTGAAGCAAGCAAGACCATTGACGGTGCTTGAGGTAAAGCAGCTTGAAAGCTATTTGCAGGACACAAGCAACAGTGCTGTTGACAGGTATGCTGCAGGCGCCTTCTTATTTGCGTTGTTCGCACGCTGCCGCTGGAGTGACACCAAGAAGATTTATGCGTACCAACTAGATGTGTTGGATCAAGCGCAGACGGTGCTTGGATACATTGAGTTCCGGACTCGTTCACACAAGACTGCGCGTCTCGTCGCCCGACGTGGTTTAGCCAAGCCCTTGGTTGCACCAATATGGGGAGTTGGCGAACGTCCATGGGCCCTAGATTTCGTTGAGGCGGCGAAAGAAACTCACATGGATTTCCATGAGCAATTCTTCGGGCCTTTGCTCCCAGCACCAAACAAGGATCACACCTTCAGCTCTCGCAGCACGGGATCCAAAGAGGCCAGTTGCTGGCTTAATGCCATCCTTGAAACCCAAGATCCAGAACAACTGGTTTCCAGCCATTCCTTAAAGGCCACCACGCTGTCGTGGTGCTCTAAATATGGAATGGACAAAACCGTTCGTCAGGTGCTGGGGCATCATTCGACAGGGTCAAAAAGTGTAGACACCTACAGCCGAGATCGAGCCTTCGACACCATGCTGAAGAACATCCGCACTAATGCTTTCGCACCAGATGCCACTCGATCAGGACATCTTCAGGAACCAACCGCTGCAGACGCTGCCACAGAATTCAGAAGAAGTACAGACTTGGCAGAGGTAGAAGAACCTGCAGAAGAAACATCGAGCCACGACAACTCCAGCTCAGACTCAGCTTCCTCCTCAGAGAACGAAGATGACCTTGAGAACCAGGACACGCTTGATGAGACATCCTTGACCCCGCACGCCCCGGCTGATCCCGATTTCCTTTTCTTTCAACACCGCCGATCTCGAGTTGCGCACAAGAAGACTGTTGGCTCAACCAAACCACTCTTCGTGTGTGGACTGAAAGAGTCAGATGCTTTTCTAGAGGTCGCAGAGACCGCTTTGACCAAAGTCCGGTTGTGCCTCAGGTGCCGTACTTGCAAGCCAGTTCGTGACTTGGGTGCTTTTGCCAGCTTTTTAAAGAAACAGCGCACTTCCTGAGCATAACTCGCTCAGGGAGGCACAGAGTACAAAAGTGTGCTTGAGTCTGCACTCTCGCCATTTTGTTTGTTTTCCTTAATTTTTGAAGCACCTCAACACTTTAGCGCCTGGCAAACCTTAGTTTTTCGGCTCTGAGGTCAGCCTTGGGTTTGCAGCCATGAGTACGTTGTTGGATTCGACTGAGGCACTGAAGAAGAGAGCATTGGAGGTTCATCTCACAGAAGCCGAGGTGACCGCACTTGTAGCCAACGGAGTTGTTTCTCTCGCTCAACTCGCCTTCGCGGCTGCTGGGCCAGGGCAGACCGCCTCGGACGAACAGATCCGGAACCTCTTTTTGCCACATGTCACCACCAACATGGAGACCCTGGCCAGCATGAAGAGGTTGATATTTGAGGCTCAGACTATGGTTGCTCAGGAGATGAAAACAAAGGTGGCGAGAAAAGAAGAGACCTCAGTCCTTGCCACTCTCGCTCCGGCTGAGCGAGACACTCGGATCGAAGCTCAACGCAAGCGCCTGCAGGGTCTCTTGCTCAGAGGTGATGAAGAAGTTGCTCACGCTTGTTACGACCTTGTCCTCAACTTGCTGGACAAGGACACGCTTGTTTACCTCGGCCCTGAAAAGTTCTACACCCGAAAGACAGAGCTTCTTCAGAAGAAGCCTCCGAAAGAACTCTCAATCGACCAGAACTCACTCATCATCAAAGACAAGTCTGCAGACCATACATGCAGCGCCAAGACCGAGCTCGAATTGGTGCAGGCGCTTAGGCGTCGCGCCTTGGCCTTCGATTTAGTCGGCGCTTGTTCGTATGAAGTCATGAATCGTTATCACAGTGAGCTTGTCCAGCACTTGCAGGAAGACCCACCGCCAGGCTACCAC